GGGGCTGCAAAGGTGGAGTGCTAGCTCCCTGGTGCTGGGGGGGGGAGGGGAGCCCCCTGAGCCTCAGGGGCTGGATCCAGGCAACTCAGATCGGGTCCCCGGGTTGTAGGTTTCCTACCCCGGGATTAAGAGGACAGCTTCCTCTGTAAGAGCTAGTGTGGTACACCACTAGAGCCCCGGTGTTGCCCACTTTGGCCAGCAGGTCTGCTGCTGTTTCCATCTCATTTATTAAGTGAGACAGAAGGGTTAACTGTCTGCTGGCAAGCATCCAAGGGATTAATTCATCAGCAGACCCTGCTTATTTATGGTAATCAGAACTGAGGCTTGTTTTACCTGTTTAGAAGTTGATCGTAATTATAAGTGCGCAGCAGCACTTGCTACAATCTGCGAGGTCAGATCTGTGTCCGAGATAATCACTCAGGCAGCAGGGACAGCTCTGCCGTGGGAATTTCCTTTTTTCCTAGCTACTCCGGGAGAAGGACTGAGCAGACGTTGCTCTAAACTTTGCTGCACTCAGAAAGACAACGCGTTTACACTCAAACGACGAAAAGGGGCAGTGAAGAGAGGCTGTAGGTAACAGATGTTTCTGCATCCCATGTGGGTACAAAGGCCATTTTAGTGTCATCTTCTTTTACCTCACTGGAGGGTTTCTCTCCCTCTGAGACTCACACCAGGACTTCAGGTATCAGAGGGGTCGCCGTGTTAGTCTGAATCTGCAAAAGCGGGGAGGAGTCCTGTGGCACCTTATAAACTAACCGAAGTGTTAGAGCATAAGCTTTCGTGGGCAAAGACACACTTCGTCAGATGCATCCAACACTTTGGTTAGTCTATAAGGTGCCACAGGACTCCTCGCTGCTACACCAGGACTTCATGGCCCAAAGAGGCTGGCTCTATCTCCCATCCATGCCGTGGCCCACTGTGCCACAAACTGATGACTTTTGCTCCTATACAATAGACACAGTATGAAGAAACATGTGGAATGAGTCCAAACACCACTGCTACCCATACACACCATAGCAAGATCTAGCTCTGCACTAGAAGAGTACTGGAAAGACACAATTTGTTTAAACCCTGACATTTCATTTTGGTAGGTATAGATATTGCACAGAAAAATGAAGAATGATTCATTATTCAGGAAACTACTCACACCAATTAGGCAATTGCCATAGTGCTGTATGTTAAATTATACCTGTAGCCTTTGGCTGTCCTATTCTATCCAGGTGATTCAGTGGTGATGACATAGGAATATATAAAACCTACAGGTCTAGGTTCCTGTGCTATAATTTTAGTCATGATAATGAGGCAGGCTGTGTCTACATTGGCACCCTTTTCCTCTTAAAATCAGGAATAAGGGATCTTCCGGAAAAGGCTTTATTTTCCGAAAGATCCTCTCTAGACTGGTGCTTTTCTCCGGCAAAGCCCCAAGCCGGAAAAAAGTGGCAGCCATATTCATGCAAATGCTGCGGGGGATATTTAAATATCCCCCGCGGATTTTGCTATTGCGATGTGTCTAATCTGCATCCCTTTTCTGGAAAAGGGGTGCAGTGTAGACACAGCCCAGCTGTTCTGGTTGGAGCCTGGTGGCTTCTAAAACACAGAACACAGGGACACCCACTAGAGGTCATGGGCAGTTGAAAGGGATGATAGCTAGTTCCTATAGAACATAAGCACGGCCATCCTGGGTCACACAAAAGGTACATTTAGTCCAATATCATGTCTGCCAACATTGGCCAATATCAGGTGCCCCAGAGGGAAGGAACGCAGCAGGTAATCATCACCCAATCCCATCCCTCTCCTGTCACCCTTTTCCAGACAAACAGAGGCCAGGGACACCATTCCTACCTATCCTGGCTAATAAGTACTGATGGACCTAATCTCTACTAATTTATCAAGTTCTTTTTTGAACTCTGTTAAAGTCCTGGCCTTCACAACATCCTCTGGCAAGGAGTTCCACAGGTTGACTGTGCGCTGAGTGAAGAAAAACTTCCTTTTGTTTGTTTAAAACCTGCTACCTATTAATTTAGTGTGGTGATCCCTAGATGTTATGTTATGGGAACCAGTAAATAACTTTTCCTTATTCGCTTTCTCCATACTTGTCATGATTTTATAGACCTCTATCATAGCCCCCCTTAGTCTCTTTTCTAAGATGAAAAGTACCGGTCTTTTCAAACTCTCTTCATATGGGACCCATTTTAAATCCCTCATCATTTTTGTTACTCTTCTCTGAACCTTTTCCAATGCCATGAGATCTTTTTTGAGATGAGGTGACCCATCTATGCGCAGTATTCAAGATGTGGGCGTCCCATGGGTTTATGCAGAGGCGATAAAATAGTCTCTGTCTTATTCTCCATCCCTTTTTTCATGATTCGTAACATCCTGTTGGCTTTTTGGACTGCCGCTGCACGTGGAATGGATGTTATCAGAGAACTAGCCACAATGAGTCCAAGGTCTCTCCCTGGAGTGGTCAGACCATCCCAGCCCTGTTCTTCTGGGTAGCTAGAGTCAGAGTTCTGACACCAAAACTGAAATCTCACCTTTGCTATTGCGAGAGGCAGGCAAAGGAGCCGGGATGAATGGAAAGCCGAAGCTCTCTGTCTCTCTCTCTCGCTCGCACAGAGCAGTTGACATTCTTGCCATTTTTGTGTGTCTCTGCCCGTCTTGATCCCAGCCCATGGTAGAAGTCGCAAAACGCTACAAGTGGGGCCCTTCCCGTGGCATCTACAAGCCCTCTGTGCCCCCCCCCCCCGGAGGCCTGTTCTCCTGAGGCTGGGAAGGCAGCTGGACAGGTCTATGGGGCTGGGATGCCTCAGCTGAGATCTGGAACAAGAGCGGAAGGTCTGGGTGCTTCACTAAAGCCACTCCCCGTGACCACAGCGCTCCTGGCAGACGTGGCCTTTCCTTACTCTTAGCCACACGTGTCTCCTCCCATCTTTATAAGTAATGCGGGGAAGCAGAGCGGGCTGGGGTTTGGGGGTAGGATTGCCACGTGTCCGGTTTCGAACCAGACAATCCATAGTTGAGCTTTGTGTTTGGGAAACAAATTGAGAAAATAGAACTGTCCGGTATTTTCTAACTAAGATACAGTGTCGATTGTGATGTCATGTCAAGTGTGTCCGCTATTTTTGTTGAAACCACCTGGCAACGTTAGGTCTGGTGCTCCACTTTTCCCCACCTCCGTCAAGTGGAGGGACCCAGCTGGGAGATGGTGTGTGTGGGGGGGAGGGAGGCGAGTGTGACCCAGGGTGGGAGATGGCACGGAGGGTGGGGGCAACTCAGCTGGCACATAGTGCAGGGGGAGAGGGAGCAACCCAGCTGGGAGGTGGCGTGGGTGGGGGGAACAACCCAGCTGGGAGATGGCGCAGTGAGGTGGAGAAGGCTGCTGGCTTGCTCCACTTCCCGTGGTTCCTGCTGCTGCTGGTGAGTGCAGGGGTGGGCCCAGGCTCTGATGCTGGTGTCACCCCCCCCCACAGGGCCCAGAGGCTCAGAGCAGCCCCCCGAACCATCCAATGGTTGGGATGGCTCTGGGTCTCTGGCACTGATCTAGGGGCTTATGAACCGATCAGCAAGAAACCTCTTCTATGCTTTTCATTCGCTGACAGCGACTGAGCTTTGTGCATTTCTAATAATGACCCTCTTTAATGACCAAATCTATTGTAATCGAAAGAACACCGTAATTTAGGCCTAAGGGAAATTCAGAAGTTTCCTTGGCAAATGTTCCCAATTAAATAGCTGGAATGTGTGAATTAGAGAAAGCAAAGTTAAGTCTCAGCATCGCCAGGAAACATCTGTGCTTGGAGACTGTACGAAAGCATTTCTTGCTTAACAGAACAGCAAGTTCATCGACTGCCTGGAAACAAGTAGGCCAGCCAAAGATAAACACCACAAAACTCAGGCAGTTTCAGGGCATGAATGTACAAACCGATGAAAATAGTGACAAGAAATAATAGAAGAGCCATGAGAACCTTAAGCATCCCAAAATGTTCACGTCTCATTAAGCAATCCACTTAGCCAGTATTACATGTCTTGAAGGGAAAATGTGGTACTGTCTAGTGATAGAAAATCTATGTTTTACAACAGGAAAGCACTAAGTGGCAGATTTAGCTCAATTCCCTTTAAAAATTCCAGAGAACTGCTACATATTTTTTTTCCAGGTGGCAATCTTGTCGCAAAAGTAAGTAGCCAAATGGCTGAAATATGGAGTCTCATGTCCCAAGATTTAAGTGGCTTCTACCGAAAGGAAGAATATCTAAAGGATAATTGGGAATCATTTAAAAAATGCCACCCATAAGTGGTCCTGGCTGAAGGTGAACTCCCAGTGTGATGCTGTGGCCAGAAAAGCTAGTGTGGTCTGGGATGCAGAAACAAGGAAATCTTGAGTAGATGTAGGGAGGCTAGTTTAGCTCCCTGTTTGGCATTGGTGTGACCCTCACTGGAATCCTTCACCCTGTTCTGATGCCCACAATTCAAGGCACACGTGGATAATTTGGTGAGGGTTAAGAGAGGAGCCTCTTGAATGGTTAGAGGATTAGAAAGCTTTAATGCTCTGTGTATTTAGTGGCACAAAGAGAAGTCGAGGGATGACTTGGTTACAGTCTGTAACTATCGTCATCAGGAACAAATATTGAACGATGGGTTCTGCAGTCTAGCAGAGAAAGCTGTAACAAAATCTAGTGGCTGAAAGTGAAGCTAAGCAAATTCAGACTATCAATAAGGTTTACATTTTAAAAGGGAGGGTAATTAGTCATTGAAACAATGTATCGAGGGGCTTGGCGGATTCTCTGTCATAGAATGTTTTTAAATCTGCTCTGGGAATTTTCTCTGACCTGTGTGATATCGACGCTTAGCCTAGTTGACTGCAAAGGTCTCTTGCGGCCTTGGAATCTATGAAAACTTTAATTGGCTTCAATGGAAACAAAATTTGGCATTTGATGAGCCCAAGAGCGAGATCTCCGGCAGTTGTGGAGGCTCATGACACCTCTTTTGTCACTGCTTCCTTGTAGGTGCACCGTCTTCACCTCAGATGTTGGTTTCTACTCAAGACTATCCTCAAGGGCCTGGGGTAAGTGCCTGATGCCCTTTGCAGTTGCCCTGCTGGGAGATTGGATTTAAGCATCGATTATTGGAGTTCGATGAGTCCGAAGAGAGAACGTTGCCACTGATTGATTTTCTGGAGTATATGTTTTCAGATCAGTTAATGGGTTACATGTGAACATTCTAAAAGTCCAGTTTCCCTCTAGCGTGGTCCTAGTAAGGTAATGGCCCGATCACTTCTGATACATAAAGGAGTTTGAATTTGATAGAGAAGAGACAAGAAGCAAAGAAAGGGTCTCAGGAGAGGTCAGACTGAGGACATCAGCAGGGGTCACCTGTGCAGCCCAGGAGAAAGCAGAGAGGAGAAATTGATAGTCATCTGCAGAGAGAGATGGCCAAGAGTTAGGCTACTGGAAATCTGCCTTTGGAGAGCACTAGATGGAAAGTCAGTATTTCATAAATCATACTGTATGAAAGCTAGGCTTTCTCCAATCCCATATTTCCCTTATAACATAATGGCAATTGAGGATCAGACTAATACAAATAATTTTTATGGGTGTTTATATGTTCCAGGTGGATTGTATTCCCCATCAATAAGGCCCTGAAAAATCCTATTGTCGAGAACCTGCCTAATTCAGTAGTAAAATGTGAAATGTCCACCCACAGACACGATTAGTGAGTAAGCTAGAAGGAGAAGTTTAACAGGCAGCAGCATTTCCTTGAAAATATTCATTTTCCTGTCGTGAGACCCAGCTCACTGAGATGTGCCTACATCCCACTGGGTATCACGTTCTAAGAGCTTTGTGGCCAAATGATAACAATTTCCTGCTGTAATCTATATCCCCAGAAGCAGCAAACCAGAGTCTAGCTATAATTTGCTGGACAGGAATCTCGGAACTGTTCTCAGATCCCAGACTTTTTATTTTTTCAAGGGAGTCGTTTGCTGCAGACCAGATTTGCAGGGGTTTGTTTTATGGCATCGAGGAAGTGTGTTGACAATGACACAGAATCTTTGCAAGGATAGCTTTCAGGATTTAAGGCCACGTCCAAACATTGAAAGCCTGTTGTTTCTCCCTCTTGTTGCAGAGATCTCTACACCGTGATATTTTGTTGAAATTTAGTGCTTCATGACCATGCTTTTTTAGACTGTTTGACCTTGCCAAATCATAGAATCATAGAATACTAGGACTGGAAGGGACCTCGAGAGGTCATCGAGTCCAGTCTCCTGCCCTCATAGCAGGACCAAGTACTGTTTAGACCATCCCCGATAGACATTTATCTAACCTACTCTTAAATATCTCCACAGATGGAGATTCCACAACCTCCCTGAGCAATTTATTCCAGTGTTTGACCACCCTGACAGTTAGGAACTTTTTCCTAATGTCCAACCTAAACCTCCCTTGCTGCAGTTTAAGCCCATTGCTTCTTGTCCTATCCTCAGAGGCCAAGATGAACAAGTTTTCTTCCTCCTCCGTATGATACCCTTTTAGATACTTGAAAACTGCTATCATGTCCCCCCTCAATCTTCTCTTTTCTAAACTAAATAAACACAATTCTTTCAGCCTTCCTTCATAGGTCATGTTCGCTAAACCTTTAATCATTCTTGTTGCTCTTCTCTGGACCCTCTCCAATTTCTCCACATCTTTCTTGAAATGTGGTGCCCAGAACTGGACACAATACTCTAATTGAGGCCTAACCAGCGCAGAGTAGAGCGGCAGAATGACTTCTCGTGTCTTGCTCACAACACTCCTGTTAATGCATCCCAGAATCATGTTTGCTTTTTTTGCAACAGCATCACACTGTTGACTCATATTTAGCTTGTGGTTCACTATAACCCCTAGATCCCTTTCTGCTGTACTCCTTCCTAGACAGTCGCTTCCCATTCTGTATGTGTGAAACTGATTGTTCCTTTCTAAGTGGAGCACTTTGCATTTGTCTTTATTAAACTTCATCCTGTTTACCTCAGACCATTTCTCCAATTTGTCCAGATCATTTTGAATTATGTCCCTCTCCTCCAAAGCAGTCGCAACCCCTCCCAGCTTGGTATCATCTGCAAACTTAATAAGCGTACTTTCTATACCAATATCTAAATCGTTGATGAAGATATTGAATGGAGCCTGTCCCAAAACAGACCCCTGTGGAACCCCACTTGTTGTACCTTTCCAGCAGGATTGTGAATCATTAATATCTACTCTCTGAGTACAGTTATCCAGCCAGTTATGCACCCACATTATAGTAGCCCCATCTAAGTTGTATTTGCCTAGTATATTGATGATAAGATCATGTGAGACCATATCAAATGCCTTACTAAAGTCTAGGTATACCACATCCACCGCGTCTCCCTTATCCACAAGACTTGTTATCCTATCAAAGAAAGCTATCAGATTGGTTTGACATGATTTGTTCTTTACAAATCCATGCTGGCTGTTCCCTATCATCTTACCACCTTCCAAGTGTTTACAGACGATTTCCTTAATTATTTGCTCCATTATCTTCCCTGGCACAGAAGTAAAACTAACTGGTCTGTAGTTTCCTGGGTTGTTCTTATTTCCCTTTTTATAGATGGGCACTATATTTGCCCTTTTCCAGTCTTCTGGAATCTCTCCTGTCTCCCATGATTTTCCAAAGACGATAGCTAGATGCTCAGATACCTCCTCTATCAGCTCCTTGAGTATTCTAGGATGCATTTCATCAGGCCCTGGTGACATGCAGGCATCTAACTTTTCTACGTGATTTTTAACTTGTTCTTTTTTTATTTTATCTTCTAAACCTACCCCCTTCCCACTAGCATTCACTATGTTAGTCATTCCTTCAGCCTTCTCGGTGAAGACTGAAACAAAGACGTTGTTAAGCATCTCTGCCATTTCCAAGTTTCCTGTTACTGTTGGAATATATGTGGGTTTTTCTGCAAAACAATATTGGAGCACACTGCTGCATCTGCAGCTGAATTAGGAAGTGTAGTCCAGGCATGTCTAGAACCTATACATGTCCAAACTGCACTGCTTACCTGAACAGAACTGACTTGATACCATTACCTTGGACTTGAACAACGATGTTAACTGGTTGGCGCATTACAAAGCCAATTTCTCCTGTCTTTAACATCCACATGTCCACATCAAAAGCTACAAATGGGACACATCCAGCCCACTTAATTAGTCTCATTAACATGTACTTCTTCTGCTGTTCTAGATGTCTCTTGGTTTCTGTTATTTCCACTCCAATTCATCTGAGGAAGTGGGCTTTGCCCGTTAAAGCTCAGGATTCGATGTATTTTGGTTAGTCTCCAGGGTGCCACAGGACCACTCCTTGTTTTTCAAGAACAGGGGCAGTTCAGTTCAGTCTAAATGCACATCCTCCCTGACCCTACACATTTTACAGACCCTTCACATAAGCTGCCACGTATCTTGGAGTTTCTGACGCTCCTAATCCAGCAAGATTTTGCACAGGCTTCTCCAGCAGCATCACTAGTAGAGTTAATATCCTCTTTATTGTTCTGGCTTTTTTTCCAGCTGTCGCTATCCCAGCTGTCTGCATCACCACGTTCTCCTCCTGTCAGCCCCTCATCCAACCCCCCGTTTCAACGGCAAACTGGCTCTCCGGTGCCCCGGTCCCCTGGGACGAGCCAGCGCAGACGTGCAGTAAGGCTCCTCTTTGGGTCGGTGTGGGGGGCCCCTGCTCTGGCTAGCCCTGGCAGAGAGCAATAGTCTCACATGCACGTGTGGGGTGTGGGCGCCTTCCCACAGATACCTGGACAGTAACAACGAGGCCAGTGTCAACTCCTGTGGTCACTGCAGCCACAGTGTGTGTGTGTGTGTGTGTGTGCATGCGCGCCAGGTTTGGGAGAAGGCAGGAGCTCTGTGTGCTCAGGGCACGTTCCTTTACAGAGAGGCTGCGTTGGGTCTTGTGGTGGGGAAAGGAGGGGGAGGGAGGGACTCTGGGGTTCTGCTCTTCCCCCATTGCTTGTGCCCTGCCCGGTGACCTGTGCATTAGAGGTCTATGAGCTGTGAAAGGTGCAGTTCCTCTTCTGCTCAGCTGAAGAACAGATGGGGACCTGGCTGCCTGCCCTGCCTCTCTCTAACCCCCCGCCCCGCCTCCTGCCCTGCGAGGGGGACAATTGGCAGTGTGGGTGAGCCTGGCAGCCTGGCCAGGGCAGCTCCTTCACTGTCCTCCGCTGCGTTCTTGGCCAGCACTTTACAAACTTTTGGCCTCGTGACCCAGTTGAAGAAAATCGTTGATGCCGCGGCCCAACGGAATGTGACCAGAGCCTGGGCTCCGAGCTGGGGCTGAGGAAGGAGATTTGGATGGTTGGAGGGGGCTCCGGCTTTGTGGGGGGAGGTCAGGGCTGGGGCAGGAGGGGCTTGCCTTGAGCTGCTCCTGCTCTGCGGTGCAGGGGGGGCTAAGGCAGCTTCCTGCCTCTCCTGGCATCACAGACCATGCTGCCCCCAGAAGCAGCCTGCCGCAGGTTCCCAGCCAATGGGAATGTGGAGCTGGTGCTCAGGGCGGGAGCAGTGCACAGAGCCTTGTGCGCTCCCCCAACACACACATGTAGGAGACACGCCTGCTGCTGGCTGCTTCTGGGGTGCAGCACAGTCTGCAGGGCCAGGACTGGCAGGGAGCTGCCTTCGGCCCCCCCCCTTTCTCACCAGACCCCCCTGCAGCAACAAGCCCCAGCGCCCGACGTCCCACCCCCCAGTGCTGGGTCCCGACCCGTTATTTGGAAACTGCTGCCCTAGCGCCTCCCATCCGGGGCCTGTCAGTTTCACGGGGTGTCCTTGTTTGTCAGCAGGAGCCGTACGGAAGCAGTGGCGGCGGCATAGCTCACCTGGAGGCTGAGCTCGGCCACGGCGCCTTGGTCCTGGATTCCTCGGCAAGTGACCAGCTGCAGGAGCTGCCTTTTGCTCCCGTGCACGCTCCTATCGTTGCCATGGGAACCCAGAGTAGGAGGTGAGGTGCCAAGGGGGCTGGAGGGGGGGGGGGCGCAACCTGCTGCCTGAGTCATGCGAACATACGGGGCGGAGTTCAGGGATGGTCAACGGGCCTGCGCATTCTGACTGCAAAGCTCCCTAACTGCTTCTGGCTCACACTCGTCTCCGTCAGGATAACAAAAGGGACCTGGCAGAAAGGGTCATGTTTGGTCCCAAGCTGTGTCTACGCTGGGGTGGGTTTGGTGACAAAAGTGCTGTCGACGTGCAAAAGTCGCCAAAAGTGAAAACCGGTCAAACCAGTTTTTCTGCCTCCTATTGTCCACATTGCATGGCCACGTGGCTAGTTCCCCTGCCAACAGGGCAATGCATTGTGGGTAAGCATCCCATAGTGCAGTGTGGGGGGAAGGCAGAGCTGATTCCTGCACGTCTTGGGATTCTCTCTGAGTTCTCCCCCAGCATTCTCAGCTGCTGGGAGCAGCATGATGGTTACCTCTGGGAGCCTTCTGTGCTGAGGGATGGCAAAGCTGTCTCTCCAGCCCTCCCCCTGCAACAGCAGCCTGCCTGTCGCTGTGTTCCTAGCAGGGCTGCATCACTCCCATGATTTGCTCTTTGTTTGTTCCCCAAACAGAGCAGCTCACTCAGCTGTCAGACACTTACTGGAGGTTTAAAAGGGGAGGGGTACAGGCCTGCGGGGCAGCAGAGATCCCAAAACACTGATCAGAGGCATCAGGGCAGGCATTGTGGGATACTGGTGGAAGCCAGTTCTCTGGATAAAACAAACAGCAGAGTCCACACTGGCTCTTTGCTGGTAATAAAGGGAGGGGAAAAGTCAAAATTCCCTCACAGGCCTGCAAGATTTTTGTTGCCAAAACTGGGTGTTTTTCCTGACAAAAGTTGCATCGTAGTGTGTGCACTCCCACTGTTTTGTCAACAAAAGGCAGTTTTGGGGGACAAAACGTGGCCATGTAGACAAGGCCCCAGGAAACTCAAAGACCTTTTTGTTTCAGTTCTAGCTCGGTCCTCACTCGGGCCTCTCTCTCTCGCTTGCATGCCGCTGGCTTTCCGGAAATCCTGGATTGTAACAAGGAGCCAGCAGAAGTTGTGGACCCCACAGACTCCGTGAACTTCAACCCTCAAAGGGAAGAAGCTGACTTCTTGCAAAGCAACGAAATCATTTTGCAGTTCCTTGCCTTCAGCAGGTAGTGCCTGGAAGTCCCACTGTCCCATGTGCAGGCTGGATTCACGTCTCCTCTCGCAATAGCATCCGTTTCCATACTGATCTGAAGCAGCTCCTTGGCCTGATGAGTCTGACGGGACCTGGCACCTGTCTCCCATGCCTCTTCCTTAAGAATGTCACCTTGCGTGGCCGAGGCACGTGTGAGCAACTGCCGTGGTAACAAAAGCACCAGAAGTGCCTGTGAGAAAATGAACGGTCCGTTGTAGGGTATGTCTACACTTGCACCCTCTTTCAAGAGAGGGATGCAAATGAAGACACTTGAAATTGATTGAAGACAGGATTTAAATATCCCATGCTTCATTTGCATATTAGCATTATGGCGCTATTTCGAAATAACAGACGCTGTTAAGATGCCGTTATTTCTAGAGAAAACCCTTCTCTCGAAATAACTGGTAAACCTCATTGTATGATGAATAAGGGTTATTTCAAGGGAAGGGTTTTCTCTCAAAATAACCACATCTTAACAGAGTCTGTTATTTCAAAATAGCGCCATAACGTGAATATGCAAATGAAGCACAGGATATTTAATCCTGGCTTCATTTGCGATTTCAAATGTCTTCATTTGCTTCCCTCTCTTGAAAGAGGGTGCAAGTGTAGACATACCCGTAGTTGTTGTTTTATGCCTCGAGACTGCTCCAAATTAATTTTTTTGGTCACATTAGTCAGACTGTAATGTAAAAATAATTACTGCATAACTCCGTATTTACAGGAAAAACTTAAAAACCCCACAAATAGTGGGTTTCGCTCACAAAAGCTCATGACATCATCTGCGTGTTTTGTTAGTCTTTAAGGCGCTACTAGACTTTTTCAGATGACCGGAGTATAACTCCAGATCCAAGAATAAATAAGGGAAAGGGGGCAGGGGGAAGGCCGGGGAGGAGGAGAAGGAAAAAAAAAGAGACAGTGAGTAGATAGCCTCTTGTAACTATTTGAACTATCTACTCACTGTCCCTTTTTTAATTCCTCTTCTCCCCTTTTTCCTCCCCCCTCTTCTCTTATTTATTCTTGGATCTGGACTTATTATACTCCGGTCATCTGAAGAAGTGGGTTTTGCCCACGAAAGCTCATGACACCATCTACGTGTTTTGTTAGTCTGCAACAGGAAAACCTTAAAAAACAACAGATAGTCTAGTAGCACCTTAAAGACTAACTCGGTTACCCCTCTGATCCTTATTTACAGACAGGCAAGTTTCACTTGGAAAGGTTTTTCCGTGGCAGTGGTTTTATCTTGATTATACACCATTCATGTATTTACCATTGGCTACAGAGCGCTTGTAATTTGGAAGCAAAATACCATTCCCAACTGGTCATGAAGCTGGGAATTCTGTACCAAAGAGCAGAAGTCACGTGTACTACCAGTTTATTGAAAGCAAAACCAAATCTCTTCTTCCCCATCAAGACGACTTCAAAGGAAGCCTCCCAAACCAGTCTGAACACACTTAATATCATGGATCTTCCTCAGTTCTTCTTCGCAAGTGGTTCACAAGCACTTGTGAAGCACATACAAATGGTGACAAGAGGAGTTAATCCAGACACCTTTTTTTTTTTGGTCAAGGATCCCACAGGATGGCATGGGGACAGCATGGCCAAGGACCATGTATTTCACCTTCCAGTTTTACCGTTTCCCACCCGTCACAACACCACGATTGCAGCTGGTCAAGATGGACCACTCTGGGACAGCCAGTTCGGCTGCCTCTTCCTATGTCTTAGTCCAGATCGAGAAAGATGGAACCCTTAAGAGCGGTAAGCGCTAGTGGTGCACGGGTGTTTGAAAAAGGAGGGATCTTACAGCACTTGCTAGATGGCATGTCCTCTGCGGAGGTCTTGGAAACTGTAGCTAATTGTTTAGGAGTTCTGTGAGATGTCCAAATGCAGCAGGGTGAGGGGAGACCTAGCAGAGCTATAGTAAATAATGAACAGGGTAGCGAGGGTACATAAGCATCCTGGATCAAGGGAATTAGAGTGCCTAACAAAAGGTAAATCAAAGGCAGCAAATTTAAAACAGGTGCAAGGAAACCTTTTTAGATATGCAACGCGTAACTAACTTGTGAAACTCATTGCTACAATACAGCATTTAATCCAAGAGTCCGAACTGCACTCAACAAGAATTGCATCAGAGAGGATACAGATTTATATGGGGTATGGATATCCAAGCCAACTCATTGGGGCTAGGAAGAAAACCTCCTTATGGCTTGACCATTCTTCAGTTACTTTCTAGGGGCTTTCTTGCCCTTTCCTTTGAAGTGTCTGCCAGTTGGAGATGGGATACAGCCCTATTCCTATGGGGCTGAATTCTTTCAATCATCTGAGCCTTTCTCTAAGGTTTAATAATGAATATTGAAACACGTATCAACGCCTTAAGCCGGTCTTGTCGTTTATCAGCAAAATGGTTTCTTTCTTACTCGGCTAGTGGGTTATGGTAGGAGGAAACTCCACTAGGAGACTTAAATAATGTTTTTAATTGTTCAAATGGGATTTTTGTCAATCGGATTTAGGCTTAGATCCAAGTCAAGGTAATGGACTCGTATCTGCTATAATATCCAGTGTCCATTAGTTTATACACCATATAATTAAAAGTATTCAAAATGTCAAGGCAGAAGGCAAAACATCAATAAGTGTCAGTGATACATTCAGAAATCTGGACTGCTGACTCCAGCCATAGCCAAGCAGATGTAAAGAGAGAGAGAGAGAAGGCATCTAAGCAACCAGCCTGTAGTAATGCAATCACATTCTCTTAGCAAAATGAATTTTTTAAAATTATTGTCTCAAGAGATGGAAAACGAATAGCCTGCCTCCTACCGAGCAGTTTTAGTTTTACTATTCCACATGGGGAAGGAACTGTACAATGAAATTAATAAGGAAAATCCATGTTAACTTAATTTTTGGGGGGGATGGATGTAACTCCCAACACAAACTTAAAAGTGATGAATTCTGGTAGTTCATAAATGGTTTGATCCATAGGTTTGTGGCCTGTGGCACCTTAGAGACACATTTATTTGGGCATCTGCTTTCATGGGCTGGAACCCACTTCATCAGATGCAGAAAGCGGAAATGTCAGTTTGGCAGGGATACATGCAAAGATGGGCATGTTACATTTACATTCCTACGCAGAGGATCAGCACTAACGAGGCCGATTCAAGGAGTCTCCTGAGACGCCATGAAGGGTTCATTTACTTGGTCCTTTTCCTGCAGGATCTGCAGGGTTTCAGCTAAAGTATATGGTGGACCCTGCCTTTCTGAAGCCAGGAGAACAACGCTGGTTTGTACGTTATATAGCTGACCACAACCTCCAGATCGATGTTTGGGACGGAGATTCATTGCTCCTCGTTGGATCTGCTGCCATGAAGCTGAAGGTATGAAACTTCTCGCATGCTAAGTCCAAAGCTGTTACTAATGGAGAAAAAGACCAAAGCCTCCATTTACACAGTAAAAAAACCCGGGGAAGGAACCTTCTGTAGTTGCAATTGTAAAGCCTCACCTTCTAGGCACCAGAACTCGGTAAGCCCTTTTTGCCCCTTTCTGATCACCACGTAGTTATACACTATGGCTGTGTCTAGACTGCATCCCTTTTCCGGAAAAGGGATGCAAATTAGACGTATTGCAATTGCAAATGAAGCGGGGATTTAAATCCCCCCCCCTTCATTTGCATAAAAATGGCTGCCGCTTTTTTCTGGCTCAGCTTTTTTTTGCCGGAAAAAAGCGCCAGTCTAGACGCGGATCTTTCGGAAAATAAAGCCTTTTCCGAAAGATCCCTTATTCCTTATTTTAAGATCTTTTAGACTGGCATTTTTTTCCGGCAAAGCTCTGAGCTGGAAAAAAATGGCAGCCATTTTTATGCAGATGAAGTGGGGGGGATTTAAATCCCCGCTTCATTTGCAATTGCGATATGTCTAATTTGCATCCCTTTTACGGAAAAGGGATGCAGTCTAGACAGCCTATGGCTATGTCTACACTGCAGGCTTCTTGTGCAAGCTTTTTTCGGAAGAGATCTTCAGCAAAAACTTCTTGTGTAAGAGAGCATCCACACTGCAAAAGCGCATTGAAAAAGCAATGCGCTTTTGCGCAAGAGTGTCCAGACTGCCTGGATGCTCCCTTGCAAGTAAGCAGTGATATCTATGGACAAAATGGCCACCAGGGCACCTGTGCTTTTTCCTCTTCCCTCTTCTTGCGCAAAAAACCCCTCTTCCCCATCCACACATGCCTTTTCGTGCAAGAGCTCTTGTGGAAAAAGGCATTCTTCCTCGTCGAACGAGGATTACCAATTGCACAACAACCCCTCTGATCTTTTGATTTACTTGTGCAAAAACACACTTGAGGTGTGGACGCTCCACGAGTTTTTGTGGAAAAACAGCCATTTTTCCGCAAAAACTCTGTATTGTAGACATAGCCTGTGATGAGCTAAACTCTTTGAGTCTTCCACTCTACAGCATGGTTTCCAGTCCTTTAGTCATTTTCATGACTGCTTTCTGAACCCTCTCCAATTTTTCATCACCTTCCTTGACTTATGCACATTCAGAACTGGACACCAAGGACAAATATAGAGGTAATACAGGCTGCACCTCTCTAATCTGGCACCCTTGGGACCTGACCAGTTCTGAACAAGAGAATTTTCTGAACCAGGGGAGGTCACTATTGTCTAGCAGCATTACCAACACTGCCACTGCTTGCTAGGCTGTTAGAGGACATGTAGGGGTAAATTAGAGCAAAATCACAGCACAGAACACAGAGAGCCAGGCTGGTGGCTGTAAACCAACTTTATGGGACTGCAGGAAACTTGGCCACACCCATGCTAAGTGGACACCTGGCAAACTACAATCATTCCGGACGATGGATGTTTCCGGACCAGAGAGTTCTGCACTAGAGAGGTGCAACCTGTAAAACTTCGCTACTCCAACTCGATATCATCCTGTTTATATATTCAAACTCTGCATTATCCAAAGCGTCCTATTGTTAGCTTACCTTCAGCTGATTATCCATTGTGACCACCAGTCTTTTTCAGTATTACTGCTTCCCAAATAGAGTCCTTCCATTCTATAAGCCTGGCCTACATCCCTCCTTCCTAAGCCATCCACCTGACCCCTTTATTATTTACCCCTGCCCCAATCTTTGTGTCATTGACAAACTTCCTTATTTTGTTTAGTTTTGGCTTTGTTTAGTTCCAAGTCATTGATAAAAATGTCAAAACCCCAAAGGCTGATCTCTGAGGGAATCAACTAGGAACAGTCTCTTGCTGATGGCTGCCCAGCTACGGTTACATTTTGAGGTCTATCAGGGAGCCAGTTTTTAATGTGTGTCATGTTGATTTTGTATCATTTGGGTTTCTTAATCAAAATGTTGTGCAGTACTCAGGTTAGCGTCCAGGTTAGCGTCAGTCAAACTAATAATCCTGTAGAATCCTAGAACTTGAGAGGTCTTCGAGTCCAGTCCCTTGCCTGCACAGCAGGACCAAGCACCATGTAGATCAGTGGTCCCCAACCTTTTGGGGCTGCCGGGTGCCCAGGGGCGGGGCCGCTCACGTGCCACACGCGTGGGGGGAGGGGCTGCGCATGCACCACGCGCCTGGGGGCAAGGCCACGCATGCACTGCGCACAAGGCCAGATTAAGGGGGGGGGCTAGCTGGGCAGCTGCCCGGGGTGCCAACCTATGGGGGGCGCCTGGGACCGGGAGCTGCGCGGCACCCCTTAAAGCTGCCATCAGGTGCCGCACGCCTGATGGCAGCTGTATGGTGCTCAGCGCGCCGGGGGGCAGGGCTGCGCATGTGCCATGCACCCGGGGGTGGAGTCGTGCATGCGTTCCACGCCTCGGGGTGCCAACCTATGGGGGGCGCCTGGGACCGGGAGCTGCGCGGCACCCCTTAAAGCTGCCATCAGGTGCCGCACGCCTGATGGCAGCTGTATGGTGCTCAGCGCGCCGGGGGGCAGGGCTGCGCATGTGCCATGCACCCGGGGGTGGAGTCGTGCATGCGTTCCACGCCTGCTGCCCGGGGCGCAGAATGGCTTGGGCCGGCCCTGGTCACTCGGCGGGTGCACATAAATGCCCCAGCGGGCGTCACTGCGTTGGGGACCACTGATGTAGATCATATAAATAATGCCAACAATGAAAATAGTTGTATCACCCTTCTTTTATTTTTACTGAGTCCTGTATCAGCCATCATTTTACCTAGGTGACAGGCATATCATTATCCAGGTCACCTTATTTTAAAAGTGAACACGGGCACTATGTTAACTTTCTTCCATCAGTGTTCCAAGACTAAGTGAAAAATCAACATTACTGGGCAAGTGAGCTCTTCAGCCATTTCTTTTAAAGCTCTTGGATATCAGTTATCTGGATCTGTTGTTTTAAAAATCTTTACCTTTAGTTGTTGTTTTTTTACATCCTCCTGTGGTACTATTGGAATGGAAAGTATTTCATGACCTTCTGATCTGAATACTTCATCTGTGGTTTTTTCCCAAATACAGAGCAGAAATGTTGACTAAACTCTTCTGTCTTTTGTGCACTATTATTGACAGTTCTACTATTCGTATCTATTTATGGACCAACATCACTGTTACGATTTCTTTTTGTTTCTCATACACTTTAAAAACTCCTTAATGTCTTTAACTTTGTTGTCCATTAATTTTCTTTTTGGCCTTTTTGTTTTCCTTATAAATTTCTATATTCTCTAGAATATAGAAATATTCTATATCCTAATTCATGTTTGTTTATAACAACTTTCCTCTTTTCTATCTATCTATCTATCTATCTATCTATCTATCTATCTATCTATCTATCTATCTTTTTACTTTTTCTCCGTCAGGATTTTTTTTAAACCCCAGTGTAGCTTTGTTTCTTGATTGTGATTTTTGGGCCTCTACTAAAGTATTCTCGAATAATTCTCAATTACCATTTAAATTTTTTCTCTTAAGTTCTTTCTCCCAGCTGATTTGGCTCATCTCAAAACAATACCTCCCCATTAATGCTCTTATGAGCCTTGGGAAACCCCAGAGATGTCACAAATGAGTGTAAACAACCACCAAAAGGTGCTTTTAAGTGGTGCGGTGTAATTAGCCTGCCAGTCCCTGCATGATGGGAGCTCATTACACTTCACAGCGAGGACGTGCTAGTCAAGGGAGGGCAACAGTGAAACTAGAGTTTCCTGGAGCAAAACCTAAATAAAAATAGTCAAAGCACAAAGTTCCAAAGTGTGGTCAGCATTTGTGACCTGGGAGCCCAGTGCTAGCTTCAGGAAAGCCAGCTTCACGCTGTAGGGGCTCTGGCATAAGCCGGGAGAAGCTGAGATCTGAGTTGAGGAAGGGGAGGCTGTAAGGAACCCCCCTTTATCTCAGTGTTGGATGGAACTGTCCCCTTGCCCATATCTCCTGTGTCACACAGGGTTGCCAGGTGTCCGGTATTGTACCGGACAGTCTGGTATTTGCACTCTTTGTCCGGTAAAAAAAAAATCAGACAATCCCTGACATGTGCAATGTCTGGTATTTTCTGATTTTTCCGGCTGCGCACCGGATGGAAGCCTGGTGTGGGTGGGGGAGCGGCTGGGAGTCCGCCCCCACCAGGCTTCTGCGCAATCACAGGC